ATCTTGTCAAGTGGACTAGTAATTCGCGTCCGGTTTTAGACACAATCCCACTATCACACTGTCTTTCGGCGATAAAGGAATTCGACGTGCTCGGTCTGTGTTGGTCACCAGAGTCCGACGTGTTGAGCCTTAAGGTAAATCCGCCCGTAGAGAAGTGCACAAAGCGCACAATACTGTCATGCGTTGCTAGATTATGGGATGTCATGGGTTTCGTAGCTCCGGTGGTATTGTACGCTAAGCTTTTGATTAAACAACTTTGGTTATTTGAATGCGATTGGGATGACTCGCCGCCTGACAGCATTGTTCGTTTGTGGCAGCGCTTTAGAGAGGAACTTCCTTTATTAAGAGAAATTAAAATACCACGTCATATAAACGTTGATAGAAATAGCGTCATCACGGTCGTTGGGTTTGCGGACGCCAGCGAGAAGGCTTACGGGGGCGTTGTATATTTCCACGTCCAGAATAATGGTAGAAATTCGATTAGCCTCATTAGTTCTAAGTCGAGAGTCTCTCCCCGTAAGGTTGTCTCTCTGGCGCGCTTGGAGCTTTGCGCAATATTGGTACTCACCAAGCTTATTACCGCAGTTATCAGCGCGTGTAGAGAGATAGAGTTAACATAGAAAGGATATTTGCCTTTTCCGACTCCACCGTCGCCTTATGCTGGGTTCATTCTTCACCCCACCGTTGGGATACGTTTGTCGCGAACCGAGTGGCCAAGATCCAAGACGAGTTAGAAACGCAGAACTTTTATCACGTGTCCGGTACGGAAAACCCCGCCGATTGTCTATCCCGTGGACTCACCCCGATGCAAATAATGGAGCACTCGCTTTGGTTCCACGGACCTTCTTGGGTTCACTTGGATCCCTCGCAATGGCCAATAACCGATTTCGAACCTTCGTCAGTGTCACAACCGCCGGAAGAGAAGAGACACGCTCTAGTGGCGAACGTTTCGAGCGAGGTTTCTCCAATCATTGCTTTGGCGAACCGCTTGTCCTCTTGGTCGAAATTATTGCGTAGCGTAATTTACGTTTGTCGATTCGCGAAGCTTTTACCGTGACGTTCATATGTATTAGCATCCGATTACGACTATGCCGAGTCGCTAGTATTGCGTGAACTTCAACGTGCGCATTTCTCGGAAGAAATTACAAGATTACAATCGAATAGAGCCTTTCAACGCCTTAAGCCATTTTTACAGGATGGGATTGTAAGGGTAGGTGAACGATTGTCTAACTCGCAGTTGAGTTTCGACCAACGGCACCCTATAGTTTTACCGCGTAAAGACCATATCATGAATTTATTAGTCGATTACCATCATAAATTGAATTCGCACGCTGGCCCCGACTTGCTGATGTCGATCTTGCGTCAGAATTATTGGATTCTTTCTGCACGTAGTTTAATCCGCAATCGGGTGCACAGATGTATAGCTTGCTTTCGGGCACGCTCCAAGCAGTCATTTCCGGAAATGGCGGAACTTAGATCTTGTCGAGTAATACAATCAGTAAAGCCCTTTACGCACACCGGGTCTGATTTCGCTGGTCCGTTTAAGGTCACGCTCACTCGCGGGCGTGGTATAAGATCCACAAAGGCTTACGTCTGCATTTTCGTATGTCTAACTACAAGGGCGGTGCATATAGAACTCGTTGGTGATCTAAGCACAGCAGGCTTTATGGGTGCATTTAAAAGATTTCTTTCCCGCCGTGGCCCCGTAAGTAAATTGTATTCGGATAACGGTACGAACTACGTCGGTGCAAAACGTATTTTATCAGAACTACATGAGCTCTTAGCTAGCAAGTATTATAATTCGGAGTTCGCTCACATTCTAGCCGAGAACCGCATCGAGTGGTCTCTGAACGTCCCAGCCGCGAGTCATTTTGGGGGCAATTGGGAGACTAATATTAAGAGTCTAAAGAGTCACTTATACCGAGTAATAGGAGATCAAATTTTGTCCTTCGAAGAGCTAAGTACTGTGCTCGCTCAAATTGAGTGCGTAATGAATAGTCGCCCACTTTGTCATACGTTGTCTAGTGACCCTTCGGAGCCGCTGGCTCTAACTCATGCACATTTTTTGAATTTAACGCCGTTAAAGTATTTGCCCGCCGTAGATATGGATGAGAACAGACTTAGCATTTCCTCACGCCACAAATTATTAGACCGGTTAGTGCAATCGTTTTGGAAACAATGGAGGATGGAATACTTGCATACTTTGCAGTCTCGGCAAAAATTGAACACAGCAACTGAGCCTTTAGCTGTAGGAACTGTGGTTGTGCTCACCAAAGAGAATACGCCGCCTCTCCATTGGCCGTTAGGAATTGTCGAAGAGGTCTTTCCCGGTTCCGACAGAGTAATTAGGGTAGCTCGCGTTAAGACCACGGTTGGATCTTACATGCGTCCTGTTGTCCGTTTGTGCCCCTTGCCTCTCCCATAATTTAAATTAGCTTTCTAGATTAGAAATTGTAGTTGAATTTAGGTAATCTTAGCGTTAGTTAGTTATTTTGTTAGTTTGATCTTAGCTCTAGTTGTTTTAATTATTTTTTTGAAGGAAATCCTTCAAGGGCGGGGGGAGATGGTTCCGCGGAAAACCATTCGTATTTTATTTATATTTGACGGTAGGCTTGCCAAATCGTTTATCCCTTTCCAAACGATATCATTCATACCCTCCTATCGACACATCGGGGTGGTGGGGTGTGAGGGGAAAGAAGGTGATTCTAGAATATTACGCGATCATCGCAACCGAAGGAATAAAAAGGCACGCGCGTCCGACGCGCACTCTCTTCCCGCCGCGCTCGTCGATGCAACCACACCGCCTCTCTCCCAGAGAGTCTACCCAGAGTGTCTTCCAGAAGTCGCAGCGCAGCAACGTAACATAGTGCCCAAGCCGCATAGAAGCAACACCCCGGTGAGTGAACATTCCTACTAGTTCCTGCTTGATATAATTGTGTTTAATAGTTAATCCGCTCCAATTTTCATTTTCTCCTAATCAAGCAGGATTCCTGTCATAGATTTGGCAAATAATAGTTCGTTTTAGGGAAGAGCGAGTGCATTGTATGGGAAACCGCGTGCTATAGTCGCCATTTTATGTAAACGTAGAAGCATTTCGCATATACAGTCCATTTTAGTTAATATCTCGCGTAATAGGTTTAAGGTTCGACCGGGGAATTAGACTTTGGTAACCTTAGGCTCGTCGCTCCACCATTGTACACGGGGAAATGTCTACGCGTACCCGCCTCGCGGGGGCAAGGATGGGTTAGGTCGGACAACCCCATGGTGTTTCACCTTCGTCCCATATTGGCAGAGCAACGGGAACGCTTCACACACATCCGCAGCCTACCAAGGCGAGAGGTGAGGAAAAACGAGCATTCAGAAGCGCTAGCCTTCCTGACCCCAGCGGCAGATCTGGTCCGCCAACCAAGTTTCGGTTGCGGAGTGTAGGGAGAGCGGCGCCTCGCAATACCGACTATCATCTCCCCCCGCAGTCCCACCACCACCACCGCATCAACGGTGTGGCCCCGCCAGTGTCGCCTTACCAACACTCCTCGCGAGAGGACACCCCTCTTACCGTAGCACACCAACAAATATCAGAAGTGGGCCCACCAAGCCCACTCCGAGTGGCCACCTCAGGCCGGCCCTTCACCTCGGGCAAGCCATGTGGGTTCCTCTTAGTTCATCGCAGGTGAACTAAGTCCCCTCTCGCCACGACAAGGAGGGAGCCCGTTCGGAAGGGGTGGCTGTTTACCTGCTCTACCCATCTCATTGATTAGAGAATATGTCTGGGTGGTAAAACTTGACCTATAAACGAATGTTTTATAATCGATAGTAGCGCTTTTTCTCTATGTTTTTGAAGAACTAAAAATATCTGTCATGCCTTGTTAAACTCTGCAATATAAAACGTGTTTATTTACATAAAATCATAGTGCAGTTATACAACATTTAAAAACAATAAAATGTAACAGCTAGCACCCACCCATATTCTAAAGTAAAATCTATACTGTATCCCATCCCACCCAAACGCATCTGTTCTGCCGCCATAAGGAAAAAGGACGTTTCTACATAAAGTACGAAACAGAGAAAAAAAATAAAATGTATTTCAAAAACAAAAAAATGCGCTGTGCGAAAGGAAATAAACCAAATAATAATGTTGTGGTGTAAAAGTTTGTATCAGTGTTTGATCTATCAGCAATTATATGTAAATTTTAATTAAATAAATTTTATGTATTAAATAAATAACTTTTTCTTTTTCTTTTTTAGTAAAAAAAATGCAAGAAAATACTTGATACGGCAATGAAAAGACGCTTCTGGCTAGAAACGTCCTTTCAACTTAGTATTTTTTTAAACGTCTTTCTTACTTAGTGATAATGTGTTACCAGGTTCTAGTTAACTTAATAAAAAAGACGTTAATAGCCATTTGCTGCTTTTCAACTTAGTAATACTAATATTCAATTAACTAAAAAATAATAATACCCTGCACATTGTTAGATCACCAACAACCCTAAACCTTACTTAAACTGAAGTACGTTTTAACATGATAATTATCATGTATTAAATAAAACACAAAGTATGATAATCAGGCTTATATTTCTTTTTTATAGAATATAAAAAATAGCAATTACAAACCTCTCATAAAATAAAGTTAAACTCTAAACTCGCGTTAAACTCTTCTGTTAGAAACACAAATTAAGTATCAAAACAATCTAAGTTTGTATTTATAATTAATAATCACAGCTTTTAAGGAATCTCTTATATTGAAGTCTTAATCTTATACTTGAGTGAGATCTAACTATACCTTGTTTTATTATTACCATAATGAGTTTTTTGTTATTTTACACTACGACTTATGTGTTTTTCATAAAATAAAAAAACAATAATAGCAATAAGAAACCTCTCTGAACTTATAATAGCTACTCTAAGTTACTCTTCTAAAGACAAATATTAAAAAGCTATCTAAGTTTGAACAAATTATACTTAATATTAGCAATAATCACAGCTTTATAACTCTTGTAAATTTAGTCTTCATCAACTTGAGTCAGATCAACACTATTTTTATCAGTAGGTAGATTATACCAAAACGATTTTCTGTTGTCTGGCATTAAGGGAGTCAGTTTTTGTATGATCGCTGTCTTGCGCTCTTGACTAATGCCTCTATACTGATTTTTTGGTTTTGGAGGTGGTATCCCAGATTTTATATTTTTTAATCTCAGAAATTCAAGTGAGTATTCTTCTTCATTGTGGAAAGCAGTCTTATAATAAATGATGTGGGTGCCTCTACGGAATGTTACTTCACACATATCACATAAATAAGCACGAGGGGAAGAATTTTGTAGTTTGTAAGTTGAAGAACAGTCTTCAAACTCACAAAAATCATCCACATTCATTACTTTAACGATAATGTTTGTTCTGGTGTTCGATACTGCTTGATGAAAGTCTTCGAAATCATAGATGTGTTTCTTCCTCTTCATAGATTGCTCCACCTGATGATGGAATTCGTCTGCTGCCATGTGCGTGTGGCCTACCTCTAAATATTTTAATGTAATCGTTTCATAATTGACTTCGACTGAATTAACAAGATGGAGCAAATAAGAATACAAACTCCAATTTTTATTCTGGGCTGCACAATTATCTAACCAGATGACTACATTATTCAGGTCTCTATTAGCCTGCAAAAAAGCTCTGAAATAGCTTATTATGTCACTCATTTTGCGACCAGCAATTGCTTCATGCCATATCGCGGCATAGGTTTGCAAAGTAGCATTGTTTTTTTTGTCACCTATTGGCACAAAACTTTCATTGAATACGATTACTCTTGGGCAAAACATTACAATTTTAAATTCTTCAATGCGTGGGAGCATAATTACTTTCTCTAAATCAGCCGCAAAATAGGCAGTATCTGAGGTGATGTTTGCGTTATTTTGTTTTTCTACATCTTTTTTGTATGCTTCCCTGGCTGATGTATATTTTTCCCGGTGTCGTTCGTAATCTCGGCATTCTTGACAATTTCTGTGTCTTTTCTCCTTGTATTCCGGATTGTGGATAAAAAACTTTTCACACACCTCACACTCTTCATGTCCAAGTTTTGTAAAACATATATTTAACTTCTTCACAACTTTTCTGTAGTAGTCATAAGAAATCTGTTCGTGAACAGGAAGGTCTTTCATGTTTTGTTGTTCGTAATAAAAGTCTCGATACATTCTGGTCACTGTTAGGTCAGACGGAAGATATTTTCTATTTGGAGCGTGCTCTCGTCTGTAGTGGGAAATTGAAGGATTAAAAGAATTTATATGTTCTACAATTTTAGTGTCGTCCAACTTTTTTTGGATTAGGATTGGTTCCTCGCTTATCAACTGGAATGTTGTTTGTTATGGTGCATAAGGCGTTTCTTACAGATTTATCATTTTTTCGACTGTAACCCAGTGTTTCTAGAAAAAATACTTTGCAAACATTCACTTTTACCCCTGTTTCATTTGTCAGAAAATATAATATGCTTACGTTTCTTGGCAGTTTTCTGTTTTCTTTAACGGTTTTTCTCTTAGGATCTTCTTTGGATGTGTTATTTATTATGAAATACTGTTGCTCTTTCCAAGACATGTTTCTAAAGTGATGGTTTAGGTTTTGTCGTGCTTCCCCCCCGAACGAGTTCCCGCCTTGTCGTGGCGGGGGGCTTAGTAGCCGTGGCTTGGTCTCCCACGGTGAACAAAGAGGAACCCACGTGGCTGGCCCGAGGTGAAGGGCCGGCCTGAGGTGGCCACTCCGAGTGGGCTTGGGGAGCCCACTTTGGATGTGTGCTGGCGGACTGCAGCGAGTGGGGACTCGCGCACCCTCTACCGCTGCAGCCGAGGTGGAGTCGCGGAGGAAGAGGAGTGTTGGTATGGCGATGCGCCACTCGCCCTATCCTTCGCGACTCAAACGGGGCCGCACCGTTGATGCGGTGGTGGTGGGGCTGCGGGGGGAGAGGATTGTCGGTATTGCGAGGCGCCGCTCTCCCTACCCTCCGCAGCCGAATCTTGGTTGGCGGCGGAGCCATAGACCAGATCCGCCGCTGGGGTCGGGAAGGCTAGTACTTATAAGTGCTCGTTTTTCCTGGCCCCATGGCCTTTGTGCATCGGACGCGGGGGCGTCTGTTGCACAGACGTAATTGGAGGCTGTGGAGGAAGGCATGCCATGTGTTCTGGTGCGCCTTACCTGGGAAGGAGAACGGGGAGGAATTTTCCTCTCCCGAGGAGGTGCTGCCATAGGGCGGCAGGCGCTAGTAGGGCCGCGGATGTGTGCGAAAGCGTTCCCGTAGCCCTGCCAATATGCGACAAAGGTGGAACACCATGGGGTTTTAGTCGGTGCGAGTCCGACATAACCCGTCCTTGCCCCCCGCGAGGCGGGTATGCGTAGGCATTTCCCCATGAAGAAAAAAAAAGGTTTTGTCGTGCTTCTTCTGTAAACTGTGTATGACATTTTTTTTACATCCATCATTACACCCTGGCTTAAGTTTATATTTAGATTCCATATCTTTCAGTTTTTTAATTTGTTTTCTCTGCGCCGGTGATTCATCATACTTCTTACGTTTTCTGATAGTCCCCTTTTTTGTGAAATTTTGTGGCGTATCTTCGTCGCTTGAGACTTCAGGTGACTCAGGAACAGTGACGTTAATTGACGGTGATTGGGGTGTGGTATTTGTAGAAGAATCTGGATCTTCTGAACATTTTGACTGATCTAAACTTGAGGGTAAATAATTTTTATCAAAAAATGAATCATCTGAATCAAAATCCAGGATGCTGTCTGAGCTGTTATGAAGATCCGCATTATTCAAAGAGTTATTTTCGTTCGTAGTAGATAAAGGCAGCTCATAATAATTGGTGTTCAGGTTTGACTCCTGGGAAGAACTGGTTGATCGCACCATCGAAATTATTTTTGAGCATCGATAATGTCGCATTTTGTCACACTGAAACAAATAAATAAACAAAATACTTAGAAAAAATCACCGGCGCAGAAAAAATAAACGAAAAAACTGAAAGATATTATCTGAATACAAATTTTCATATCCCATTATATACAAAAAACTCATTATGGTAATAATAAAACAAGGTATAAAATGTATAAATGCAAACCTCTTCATTGTGATAGTTGGTACTCAACGGTGTAAACAAATTCGAAAAAAAGCGTTTAGCTAGATAAAGGTGTCGTTTTCTAACAGATATATTTAATATTGAAATATTTTAACATAAAAATCGGTATATTTATTTGTATCACCTGTTAGGTTTGCAGTTTTTTCAATCTTAAATTACTCATGGGTATGCTTAAGTATACATAAATTATAATTCCGGGAAGTTTGACTTACGATTTTTCCGTAGTTATAGCTCGAAGAGCCGCGCGCGCGTGTCGTCACTCTGTCTGCCTGGACGCAACTGAAGCACAGTATACCAACCGCGAGCCCCACTTCACCCCGCACAACTAGCAATACTAAGTAGGAAAGGCACTACTGCCACTTGCGCCTGCCCATTTTTCGTAATACTACGCTAAAAAGGCACACCTACGCAGAACAGTCTTTTCTTCTTATGACCATGCAGAAGTGTCTTTTCATTTTATGATGAATTAAATATTTTGTAAATAAATAGGACGCTACTACTAAAATGCGTTTTTTCAACTTAGTGGACTTCAGAAACGTCTTTTCTATTTAGTAATATTTGATTCATATCGCAGATGCGTCTTATTTAACAGTAAGATTTATAGGGTTCCGCTTAATTTATGCAAAATATAAAAATACTGGTGGATGCCATTTTTTTTACTGATTTGGAACATTTATGTAACTCCATTTCGAAAAAAATGTTAGATACGTCTTTTTTCCTTATGGCGGCAGTGTTAATCTCCGCAGTACCATTAATATCAAAGGCTGAGTACTGAGGTACTCTTACAACACAATGAAAAAAAAAACTGAATACCTACACAAAAATGCTTCGTTACATTTACATTTAGGTACATTTGTGTAACAGTACAAATTGTGGGTATTCTGGTTTGGGTCAATTAAATATTGATTGTCACTAACTGTGCCTAAATCCGTATTTATAGTTTGTGCCAAATCGATTAAAAAAAACTTACATTGACCTTTCGTTCGTTTAACCAGCGGCTACAAACCTTCAATATATAGGCACTTTTTATATGTAGTACTTTGAAGAAAGTAATAATACTAATACATAATACTATAATAATACTTTAAAGAAAAATAAAGATTTATAATGATTTTTTTAATTTTTTTTAATAATGATAGATATAATATATACTAATTAATTATTATTAAAAAGTTATGTAAAAGATCGCTGTAGAAGAAAAATCATCTATTGTTATAAAGTGCTTTATTCATTTAACAACAAAAAGCATTAATTTATAACACATATAAAGATTAGAGTGATAACGACACCGAATAATTACATACTTATTCAAAAGATAAAACTTTATTTTCAATATTATATAAGAACTTTATTTTTATTCGGTGCATGCGGGCCCAAAAAAGTGACGCATCTCTAGCTGCCATTGTCACGTTTCTTTTAGAACAAACTGACGTAACGCGCGTTTTGTTTGTTTTAAAGTGATGAATTTGTAAAAACTCAATATGGTGATTATATTGCTTCAAATATTTTTTTTTAATATGAAACTGTTATTAAATGAATTACTGCGTTACTTACCATAAATTGAAATATAAAATATAACACATTTTTCGCGATGTACCGTAAGATTTTACGATGTTTATAGGAACCACAGACAATATTATTTAAGAACCAAAAAAACAAAACATATGTGCTGACCTAGAAGTGTCAATAATATCAATATTTAAATATTGTTATCACATCTAAATTGAAATTTTGTAAGTTACGCCTTTTGACACTCGGCTCATATCTGAGGTTATCGTCCGTTTTTCTCAATCGATTTGGCACGAACTATAAGTACATACATCGGATACGGGTAGGTGCATGTACGTACATCGGAAAAGTGAGTGCCTCTGTGCATCTGACATTATAACCTGTTTAGCTGACTATATTCGAAAGTACCTTTAATCATAAATAATAGAATCAAAAATAAAACACTATTGTGTATAAGGATAATTTATTTAAACAATGTTTAATTGGATTAAAATAATATATTACGTAATAATAATAACATTGTAGTGCTGTTACAACAAAGATTAGTCTTAACTCAATAAAAGCAATCAAGGAAATTATTCATATGCATACATTCCTCTTTACAGGGTTTCCCCTATTACTACATATGAAAAACATTGGCCTACTCCCGATAGAATAGGGTTCTGAACCCAATCGAATTTTATTTGAACTCAAGGTAATCTCATACCCCGAAACAGTAACTTACGAATTATCAGAACGTAAGTCTACAGCCTCCTGACTCTAGATAGCGCTTGTGTTTGCAAGCGACTAGAATGCTTTTTCCTGATTAGTGTCTTATTTATGTAATAAAAATATTTAAGAAGTGAAATTTTAATTTATATATCTTATATAATGATCTACAGATATTTTTTATACGGGGATCTAACAACCTAACAGCGCTGATAACATTCAATATAACTCAAATGTGTTTCTCGACTCGAATTAGTTTGGAGTAAGCTTTTATTAATATTGGTTCAAAACAAACACCAGATTAAATTAAAAATCAAATCGGATATAAAATAAATTTCGGGAGTAAGCCTAAAAGATACAAATACGTGACTTATATAATTTTATTCTGCGTAAGCTACAGAAAATCCCCTAAAATACAATTGTATAATGGCTAATAAAATTTGTTGTAATGCCGGTCTAAGTGAACTAATTTCGTGTTAAAAGTTTCAAAAAACCTCTATTATTCTATAGTAAATGTAAATATAAAAAGTATGTAAGAAACAAAATATTGTCACATTCGTTTACTATATATAAATGTTAATTATAAAAATGTGACTCTAACACAGTTTCATTTTCTGGCGACTAGAACTGTCATATCAACAGCCCAAATTTTAAACCTTTGGTTTGAATTACTACTGAACGTTTTTTTTTTTTAAATAAATAACAAACACAAATAGGCCTATCGTGGCAGTGCATGAGCTAATTTTATAAAATTTATAAAATTTTATTATTTTATATATTATGGTGACATAAGAACTTACAGTACACAGATGGTGAGGCAACTGCAGCTCATGGACACCTAAGTAAGTAGTAGTAAGTAAACAACTTCAAATAGAGATTTAGAAATAATATACACATTTACTGAAGCATGCTCAGCAATGCTCAGGAATGAAAACAATATTAAGGAAATTAAGCAAAAAGCATAATTAAATAATAATTAATAAGCAAATAAATATTCTTACATAATAAATCGTGAGTGTATTTTTTATTTGGTAACTTCTTTTTCAAAATACTAGGTATCATTATGGCAAAATTTGATATTCTAGAAATACTGATGGTTTTTCAATGCTTCCGCAAAATAATAAAGAATTGCAACATTATCAAATATCGAGAAAATTGGTTTATATCACTAAGAAATGTTATTCAAAATGTCAAAAGTTCTATAGTCATAGAAATATTGCCATTATTGAAACACTACGTAAGTATGTATATGTAATAAGTAAGACATATTTATGGAAAAGTTATGTTTAAACGGCATGACAAATCCGAAAATATTTATGTGAATAACAATATCAATTCCTAGTTCGAGCAAGTAACTATTTTTTTTTTCTTTGCACTAAAACAAAGATAACCCCACAAAAGAACCATCTGCAATAACTTTGAAAATGATTGAATATTATTATTTAGTATGAAAAAAGTTTGCAATATATCAAAAGTCTAACGGTAGATTCTATTACTACTGTTCATATTGTTGCTAAGTCTAGCTTAGCCCAAGTTGCATAAAATTTGGTGCAAAGTATCCTGAAGTTGCCCAACATTTTTGTGATTTTTTATTCTTAAAAACGCTTGAATTTTAAAATGCTTTAGAGTAGTTTTTATAAACAATAAGAAAAAATATTCTAAGAATAGATGAAAAACAATGAAAAAAAATTATTATAAGTAACTACTCAAAAAGCCAGTTGCAAAAACTATCACAAAATTTATAGAATTGGCTCTACAATTGCCTTTTTTTGTGAGTATCCTAATTGGGAACCAATCGCTAGAGGCAATTTTAGGGTGTATTTACTTCCTTCGAAGTAACCTAAATGGCAAAAAATTGCCTAACTTGGTAACGCTGACATCTATTAGTAGGTAGCCCCTGGATATAGCTAAAAGTGTTATAGATAGGAAGACATTTTTGAGCCCATAACTGACTATACAAACATTTTGGCAAAAAGCATAGCGACGTATTATATAAATAATTGAAATTTCAAACATAACTTGATACATAACATAGTTAAATAAATAGACGAAAGCGTTAAACGGCTATCGACCGTCGATCTCACTAAAACGTTCCAACTTTACTACGTACTAAGTTGTGTAAATAAATCTTAAGATATAATGAACATTTTATAACAATGCTGTTACAGCCATTTATAAGGCAAGTGAACCTGTGAGTTCTCTTATTTGTCTAAATTACTTTACGAGACTAATTATGATTAAATTGATAAAAAAGTTACAACATCAACATGTCTAAAAGGTATTACACAATTATTTAAACACATTGGGCCCGATTGTTAATTTTAACTAAGTAGATTTTGTCAATAACTGCTCGAAAAATACAAAACAATAAGAAAATGATGTTCACAAATGGCTATTATAGTGTTATGCTAAGTCTTCATATTTTTTACATATAACTTTCCGATTAATAACTTTTTCAATACTTAGCAATCTAAAACATATTGGTTATTGCTCCTTTGTCACCCTTTTCTAGGGTCCACCACACAGTCCACCTGATGGTAAGTTGATTCTATGGCCCATAGACATTTACATCTATTCCCGAATAGAATCAAATGGCAGGTGTCCCTGAGAGTCAAAATGGAATGCTTCATTACATTAATCTCGCTTCTCGTCTCCTTGAAAGTGTAGTCCTTCCTTCGTATATATTACGGTCAAAACTCATAAACGCTCAAAATTAAAACGGCAAAAGTCAGGCAAAAGTAGTTTTGACGTTGATCAATACAATTTTTAAACGATTTTTGCGGTCAAAAGTAATTTTCACCAAGGACGTTGGTAACACCACCTTTACTTGACAAATTATATCGGGATGTTAGTCATAACTGCTTTTTAATTTATAATTTTTGAATTTTTTAAATTAAAAAGTTCAATTCTTTCAATATTACAGTTTTTCGTTTGGCCCAAGGGGTTTTTAACGATAGTTTGAACTTTAAATCAGGCAAAACTACTTCACTTACACAAATCAGTCAGAACTATTTTTAACTAAGGGTTCGCGGTCAAAACTATTTTTTCCTGATTTTCGCAGTCAAAAGTGGTTTTAACCGGTTATGAGTTTTGATTGTCATATACAGGGTATTTTGCAATAACCGGCCAAATTTGAAGAGAAGTTCAGAATAGGTAATATAGGCAATACGGTGAAGAAAAATTAATTTAAAAAATCTCAAACGTTCTGTCCTTTTTATCTTTTAAATTCAAAATGCGTTGTAATGTATTATCTTAACTGATTTTACTGGGCACGCACACATTTGTTAGTGGTAGATCGGTAGGCAAAAACGTTGTTGCCCAAAAATCACAATCGATTTGGGATAATTTCAATTAAAAATATAAGCCTTATTTACTCGTATTTGCTAAAATTTGTATATTATTATTTATATATTTAAACTTAAGTTTAAAATTTGACTAATATTTGAAAAATAACCCTGTATTTATACCAAAGACATTGTATAATATGCAAAAAAGTTTATATTGGTTTAATTTAAAGACCAGCATCTCACTATATTAGCTATTTTAACAAATATGCCTTCAAAATGCACTAACACATTATCTTGTAAACAATTGTCAAATTCGGATATATTTTATGATAAAATATGTCATAATATGATGTGCAATATGAAATATACATTTATATATTAATTTATATTTAATAAAAACGCGATAGTAAACATCTATAAAACGTAATGTTTAATTTAAAGTCAGTGGAGGGTGAATAAACTTCGTTTGTAATGACCCCTTCATTTTCATTTTGTTTCTTAACAAAATTATGATTACTACAGACTATATCAATATAACTTATCAGAAAAATCGTTGTTTAGTTATACAGTACAACTAAGTTGTAAATCGAAATGTACAACAAATAAATAGTGCCAGTCGAAATATTATACTTGTTCAATAAGGCTACTTGGTGCTATAAGGTGCTAAATCACTCGTTATTTTGCTTCAGATTTGAAATAATGTTTTTTTTAATGTAATAATTTAGTCAGTAGGCGGATCCATAGCAACTATGATAGTTTTCATAACCGCGGCTGCAGCTAAAGCAGCATGAGCCTGCCATTCCTTGCCGCGCGAACCATCACGGTAGTCCGAGATACCTAAAAATGTTAACAAACAAATCTAAATTATACCCAATTTATATGTAAAAAATTAATCTTCATCATCAGTCCATAGCAGTCCACAGATAGACATAGTTCTCTCGCACGGTGGAAGCCTCATAGCCTTTTACAGCTTCATTGCACTATGGCATACATGACACGCTCATGCAGGCTGTCAGTTTTTCACATAGAATACTATAATTACATACATAATAGAACGGGGGAGTGGGCGGAGCCCGTGTAGCCACTAAAATGTCACTATCACGTCAATTCACACGTATAAATGTCAACACGAGATGTGTTGTGACGTTACAATCGTTTCCATATTTCGCATGCAAATTATTTAAAAAATGCCAAATTATACGCTATTTACAAATACATATGCATTAAAATCTGTCTGTCGACACAACGAGTCGGGTTTGTAGTAGTGATAATACGACGTAATTTCTTGTATGTGTGCTCCCGGCGACGCCTATCCTCGTACAAATTAAGGTTGACAGCCATTCTATTGTGTATTATGGTATTCTATTATTTTACATCAATCACGGTTGTGATTGACGAATAACCTACCGTTTAATGCAGTGATTGACGCCTGAATGAGCGCGTAATGTACGCCATCAGTCACCATCAGTTTTTTATCAATCATGATTGATGGAATTGATTGACGCCTGGATGAGCATGTAATGTACGCCTATCTGTTAGACTGAGTCAATCATCCAGTCAGCTAGTCCTAGTTGTTACATTAGGGCAATATCTACTTATAAGCGCTACGATTAAACGATTTCAGATGCTTTTAAATTACGTGTATTATTTTGAAGACAGTTTTTATTTTTTTACAGTGTAATTATATGCCTATTATCTGCATAAATTTGACGCGCTGGATTAAGTAATTATGATAATAGACGAGTTCGTATTTTCGTTTTCGGCATGCGCCGAAAAATGTAAAATAATTTCTGTGCAAATGGATTTCCAGGCAGAAAAGAAGTCTGACTTCTTAGTAAACACTCTGAATTAGTTTGATAAACGACATATACATGCCAGACACTGGTGTCAGATTATCTGAGAGAAGAAAGACGAAGCGTTGCGTATATATTAAGAGACTCAACAAAACTAAGCCGTACATCTAAAATCTAAAATTATGTACAACAATAATATTGTTTATGCGCCCTAAACTATGTTATTAAAAGCACACATAAGCAGTGCATATGTATGCGTTCAGCATTAAACTTTTACTGGCTGATAAAAAAAGAAAGAAGAAAGACGTATGCAGGCCAAGAAAACTTGAGCATGATTCTGGCATCACTTGATATATACGCAGCGTCTCGTCTATCCCTTTTGCTGGTATGTGACACCGGTGAAAAATAAAAGTCGAAAAAGAAATAAAATGGAATTTAAAAAAAACTTAAACAACACGCATTGATCATGAGCTGTGATGATCCTGATAACTATTTTGTTTTATCCTGGTGATCGTGATCGGGATACTTAAAATATTGTATGATATGCAAATTTTCAAGTCAATCAGTCGTCTCCAAGTTGATGAAAAACACATTAAAGATTCCGTTACATAGATAGATAGGTACACGCTAAGTTAATGACGGCTTGTTAAAAAGTAGAGGTGTAGTCAGGGCTTACCTCGTATGGAGACGAAGCAGTCCTTGCGGTTGCCAACGACGCTGTCGAGCACGGCGTCGAGCTCGCAGTCGTAGGCGCGAACGCGCGCGTGCGCCGCGAAGGCCGCGCGCGCCTCGCCCGCACCCGCCACGGCGCGCCCGCCCGCCACCGGCGCGCAGTGCACGCGCCCGCGCCTGTGCACCACACGCACGTCACACACATATACTTTATTTTTCTTTACAATGAACTCGGTACAGATGTACTTTTGCTACTGTCGAGTAATATGATATTCTCCTCTATAGTAATTTGTTTAAAAACATCTTCACAGTATGGTGATGCGTCACATTGCGGTAGTTTCTGAGAGATTTATGCCCAAATACTCAAATGCTGCTCAATTTTAAGACTCCATTAAGTATCGTGGCGTTAAAGTCACTTTGAATTTAAATGATATAGACAGAACGAGACTTAACGGTCTTAAAATTGAGTAATGTTTCAGTATTTGGGCATTTGACGGCAGCTTGAATCAACAGACAGCCGTAATATCCATTACCACATATCCGTCCTGTGTCATAAGAGGTGACATCGTGGAACAAACCATGAATTGAGAACCCGCATGTCAAGAGTGGCGATTATGGCAAATATCTCCTCCTATGACTGTCGATTGTAAAGCCACTATTTAATAAGGGTAAGAGAGATGATATTACCAATTATCATCCAATTATTTTAATAGCAATATTGTCAAAACTATTAGAAAAAGCATGTATTCCAGTAAAAAGACCCTTTTTACTGGAAACGAGGCATTCCATCTTAGTCCTCCCGGGTGGCATTTTGATTCGTAATCGAGGATAGATGTAGATGTCTATAGGCCACAGCAACCATTTACCATCAGGTGGACTGTGTGCTCGTTTGTCATCCTATCTTATAAAAAAAATAGAAACTACTAGATTTTTGCAAAAAATTCAATTTAATATAAAATGACCAATATGGCTTTCAAAAACAAAAATCTACAACATTAGCTATATTTACGCTCGTTAGATCAATTTCAACAAAAATAAATAACAAGTATTAACCACAGGACTATTTTTTGATTTATCGAAAATCTTAGATCTTGTTGCGCACAGCATATTATTACGAAAGCTGGAAATGGTCGGCGTCAGGGGACTTCCACTTAAATAGATACGAGGGTGGATTGAAAAGTACTCGGCCTAACACAGATCCATTCAATTCTAAAAATCAAATCTACCCACATTATTTAGTTCAGTTCAGACTAGTTCATTGTGTGAAGTTCGAAACGTGTGCGATAATTAGTTGTGATTTTATAAATTTATTAACAAAGTAATCGGACATAATTTCCGCGAATGGAGCAAATCGAGCAGCGTGCCGTCATTAAGTACCTCCATAAGAAGGGGCTATCATCAAAAGCCATCCATGATGACATGGTCAGTACATTAGGCGATTGTGCTCTGTCATATTCCTCCGTCAAAAAATGGATAGCATAATTTAAGCGTGGTAGAGAGAGTGTGAAAGATGAATCCCGCCTTCCAGAAGGCCTTCGACGTCAACTACTGACGAAAATATTAAAAAAGTACTTGATTTAATAATGGGAGACCGCAGATTAAAAATTAGAGATATAGCCGAGATTATAGGCATCTCTTATGAACGAACTCAAAACATCATTGTCAACGAGTTGGGTTTCCACAAGGTGTCTGCGAGGTGGGTTCCGCGACTGCTTTCAGTTGAACAAAAAAGGACGCGATTGACTATTTCACGCGACTGTTTGGAGTTATTTGAAGCCGATGCAGATGATTTTTTGAATCGTTTTGTTACTATGGACGAAACATGGGTTCATTACTGTACACCGGAAACAAAACAACAATCAAAACAGTGAAGAAGACCTGGTTCACCACCCCCTAAAAAAGGCTAAGTCGATTTTGTCGGCAAATAAGGTGATGGCTTCAGTATTCTGGGACTCGAAAGGTGTGATTATGATTGATTATCTTGAAAGGGGTCAGACTATAAACTCTGATAACTACTGCACCTTACTACGTCGTTTACGAGAGGAAATAAAAGAAAAACGTCGAGGAATGCTCAGAAGAAAAGTCCTGTTTCATCAAGATAACGCCCGTGTTCACACGTCAGTACAGTCAATGGCTGAAATTCACAACTGTGGCTTTGAACTGTTACCGCATCCGCCGTATTCACCTGATCTGGCACCATCAGACTTCTTTCTGTTCCCTAACCTAAAAAAGCACTTGGGAGGTCAAAGATTTTCGACGAACGACGAGGTCAAAGCAGCTGTAGACGCATATTTTGACTCTAAGGAAGAATCATTTTTTTTCAACGGTCTAAATGCTTGGAAGGGGAGGTGGCAAAAGTGTATTGAACTTGATGGTGATTATATAGAAAAATAAAAATATAACTGATTTAGTATGTGTTTATTTTCTTGGTTAGGCCGAGTACTTTTCAATCCACCCTCGTATCTTCCTACTTAGCTAACTGTAGACAATATGTCGTAATAACATTTTAGGAGGTGAAACGTTGTCTTTATCATCTTATTACATAGATAATAAACATGGCATTCCCCAAGGGAGTGTTTTGGGTCCAATATTGTTTATTTTTTATATAAATGATATAACCCTATTCACAAATATATTTTATTTACGGTCGATATTTAAATATCCACTGATAAAAGAAAATAATTCAACACGTAATAATCATGAAGTTGACATTAACAACACAATTGATAAAATTATTAAATGATTGACAAATTAAACTTAATAAATCAACTTATAGAATAGTAGAATGAACCAAATTGTTTATGAACTTAATAAAGTAAAAATCTAACAGACAAAAAAACTGCTGTCCTAACGTACCACACTTATATAGAATCCTTACTAAGTTATGGCGTTGTAATATGGGGTAAAGGTACAGATAAACAGATATTATTTACTGCACTAAAGAAGTGTATTAGATCTATTGGTACCGAAACATAACCGCAAACTGTAAAACCAGTGTAAAACATTTATTTAACGAATTACTTAGATTATGAAAAGTAGTTTATTTATTAATGATTATTTAAGTTGGTGATTATTCTTCATGTTTACCTAGGCTTAGGACTAGCAGAAGTTTCTTAAGTTAGAACTTAAGTTCTCAGTAGTAGATTTATAGGGCGTTTGTTGCCAATATTTACAAACAGCAAGGTATACGGAATTGTCTTTTTTATCAAAGTGAGACCATAATTCACTAGCCTTACGCGACATTTTGAAAGTCTTTTTACAAAAATGATTAAGAGTCTAAATCAACTTAACCTAGACTATACTATACTTTCACTGTACACATATTTGTCTGAATTAAATAATGTACAAAATGCACGAAAATATTGCAAATAAATGCTGCGTTCGTGTATTTATGCGTCAAAAATTATTGGTTTTATAAATAATATCCGAAAGAACGGCACGCGCCAACAAGGTCGAGTGCGTAATTGTATCGTTGTGAAAAAAATTCAAATTCAAAACATTCCATCCAAAACATAAACAAAAAGTTGCCTTAACCAAATATCATATCGTATAGTTAAGCCTTGTGTCTAATGACCTAAAGATCATTTAAATTTGATAACTTTCACAACTACATAAACTTAAAATTTGGGCAATTTTAAAAATTTTACATTCAACCTTATTGCTTTAGGTTATTACATGTCATTTCGCATATGGAGTACTAGCCAAATGAAATTTTCAGGTTTACTTCTTAATAGAAGCTATTAGTTTTAATATAAGTTATAGAAAAATATTATGTGAAATATATTTTTAGAACCATAGGAACTTTCTGCGTACGACTTCCAGTCTCCCAAACAAGCCGGTTTCCGAAAAGACTTCAGTACCATAGACCACATACATACCCCGTGGCAGATTGTACAAAAGACCGAGAGTACAATTGTCACTTTTCCTGGCGTATGTGGACTATGAAAAAGCCTTTGATTCCGTCGCAATTTGGGCGGTGATACAGTCTCTTCAGCGGTGCCGAGTTGACAGTCGGTGTATATCGAAGTGCTAAAGTATTTGTACAGTAAGGCTACGATGGCTAACCGAGTATAGAATCAGAGTACGAAACCTATCTAATTGTAGAGAGTTGTAAGACAGGGTGACGTTATATTACCGAAACTCTTCACCGCTGCAGTGGAAGATGTTTTCAAGCTACTGGACTGGAAAGGATACGGTATTAACATCAATGGCGAGTACATCACTCACCTTCGATTTGCCGACGAATATAGTCCTTATAGCAGAATCACTGTAGGACCTAAGCACAATGCTCAACGATCTCAATAGTGTCTCCCAATGGAAAAGTCTTAAGATGAACATGGACAAAACAAATGTCAAGCGTAATGTCCATGTCACACCTATGCCGGTAGCTGTTGGACAATCAAGATCGCTCATCGAGCTATGGAAAGGGCTATGCTTGGGGTTTCTCTGCGTGATAAACTTAGAAATGAGGATATCCGCAGTAGAAAGAGAGCGACCGACATAGCCCAACAATCAGTAAGCTGAAGTGGCAATGGGCCGGCCATATAGCTCGAATATGATAATTGATGATAGAAAGTTAATGTAAGCATTAGAGTATTAAAAAAATGTTTATAATTATTTATTTGGATTTTTATAAATATTAGACTCTGATAAGGGTAAGGGTAACATACAAGTACGGTACGGTAAGGGCACAAAAAGCCATCAGTTTATTTTGTTTGAAAAAAATCACGGTCGCAGACCTAATAGTTTGGCAGCAATTGCGAAATTTAGGCAAAAATGTGATTTTGATTACAATTTTACTAAAATCCAAAAAGGTTTTGAACCATTAAATATCGCGTAAATAAAAGGGGGTTAAATCGATAGGTACTGAAGTTCTCTACCCCCCAGCCACCGATGATTTACTCCTCTAGTTACACGGTTTATAATAAATAAAGAGCAGCACTTTGGATACATTTTAATTAAAATACACATTTTGAGACATAAAACTAAAGTACATCTATTTATTAAATCTATTTTTCTACTTAACATTTGAAAGAAATAATCATTACATTTTTACTAACGAAAGAAATACTAACCTAGACTACAATTGTACCAACCGAACGAGTTCATAACCAAAGAAGAAACATGTTAACCTACCTTTGTCCACCCTGAGGAGCGGGATGTGATACTTCTATAAACACGCCGTCACCGACGTCGACGCTGAGGCGGTCAGTCGCGTCTTCAGGCGCCTCCCAGCGACCCGGCACTCCTCGTAAGCGCTGCAGTCCTGATAGTTTCAAAAATAGTATGAAATAAGAAAATTATTACTTTAATCAAATTATAAAAAATACTATTAGTTATAAAATAAGGAGAATGGAGACACTTTCGAAACTGAGAGATTTTAATAGTAGTTTGCGGTACGTGCCAAGGATAGTTGACAGCCCGACATCAATGAGTCAGTCTTTACATTAATGTTTATTTCAACGCAAAAGAACTCACACAATCTCACATGGATCGGATCAACAAACAAATTGTTGCAAATTATGTCACAACTATTTATTTATTGCACTACAAAACTTATACTATGCATCAAGACTGCCTCGTTGGTCTAGTGGTTGTAGTAGTGCGACTGCTGATCATGAGGTCCTGGGTTCGAATCCCGAGTCGGGCCAAAAAATTAATTATTGAGTTTTTCCGTCAAGAAATTCTCAGTAGTTGGCCGGAGTCAGGAAGTTGGCGGTGTCTCACCCCCGTGCCTCGGAAAGCACGTAAAGCCGTTGGTCCTGCGCCCGATCTCTCTCCGGTCGTGTCGGTTTACTGTCTCATCGGATTACGAGAGTGAGGGAATAGAGAGTGCACCTGTGGTTGCGCATACACTTGGGCACTATAATCCTGTCCTGCGCCGATGGCTAGCCTCCGTTGAGGCAGGCCGCCGTGGCCGAAATTCGGTCTAGAGGACATTATTATTATTATTATACATCAAGAAATATATATAAATAAAAATAAGCAAGGTGTAAACTAATGATGATATCTTGGTTTAAGTCGGCTTTGCATCAAAACAATATTTAACACAGAAATATTGGTTTTATTATATAATGATATTAATTATTGGTTATTAAATAAAAGAAGAATACCTTCGTTGACATACATGTTCCAAGGGGCGTGGGTATTCGTAAGACGTAGTGCGATGTCTTGCAATAGGAAATTTGTTGGTTTGTAAGGCTTCACTTCATAGTCCCAACCACCTTTTTCATTACGCTCAGCTTTTTCGCAGAAAATGTACACGTACCTTGAACAAAATTTACGTTGTGTGGTTAAATACAAATTTTAAAGGTTAAATACAGGCAGTATTACTATGTATTCATGAAAAAAACAACGTAAAAATATTCAAAAAAGTAAAAAGATTCGATAACCAATAATTTAGATATTTTTAGTCCTGTCGTGATAAAGTTACATTATCACAGAGCCGCAATAAAATAATAGCTAAAAATAGTCAACTACTTTATTATGTAACACATTGTTCAAATATTTAATTCATTTAGGCTTGTTTTCATAAGAAAATCTCCATTTTCTTAAAAAAAAACCTATTCAATGTCTTTCAATCGGGGTTTTAGTTTGGACACACTACTAACACTGCACTAATTGAACAGAAAGTAATAGTAGTGGTGCTTGTGACTTTTCAAATGCTTTCAACTAGAGATGAAACGGATAGCTGTTTGGCCGGATACCGGATATTCGGTCAGTCTTATCGCCGGATAGCCGGATATTCTGCCGAACATTGCCGTTTGGTGCATCGCAAGAAGCGAAAAGTAAAGTCAGTGCGAAACGTTCGCGATCATGACCCTTATGTGGTGGGCAGGTATTGCTTACACAACACCCAAATTTATCAAAGTTTGCCAAAATCTATCTTTCAGCACCCTGCAGCAGTGTGTAAAGCAAACACTTTTTTCTTAGCTAGCCTTGTTTATGAAGACAGGCGAAACCGCTTGTTACCTTTAAATGCAGAGAAATTAGTATTTATGCATCATATTTTGCCCCGAACTACATAGTACTATTATTTATTCTGTGCATTAGCGCAGTACGAGTACTAATTTTGTAAGTTTTAAAATGAAAATTTTGTAATTATCGATTATATTCGCTTAAGTGGCCGTTTTAAACCCTATAGGCCAAATACCGAAGAGTTACCGGATATCCGTTTCATCTCTACTTTCAACGCAGTCGTCGATCACGATATCCTCCTCTTTATTTTAACTTATATAATACTTTCGTCAGTCTTTGAGCATTATATATTATACAAGAGACTTAAATCCACTTTTTAATTGAGAAATTGTAGAATACTAAATTATTATAAAGACAAAAATCGTGTCAGAGCAAGCCAGACAGCAGTAATCTCTCTTTCTTATCCTTTGTAAATACAGAGAATCAAAAAGTTTCAATACAAGAATTACAACATCAATCTAAAGACGACGACCACTCAGTGGCGCAGTGGCTTGGCAATGAATGGCTGCGCTGGGGTCGCGGTTCGAATCCTGCACAGAACAAGTATTTGTATGGCCTTCAAATAATTGTTCCGGGTCTGGATGTTTGTCCTTGCGCAATTTATGTTTGAAAACTGCCACGATACAGGAGAAAACCTTAGTGTAGGGGTAACGTTTTTTAAAATAAAAGAAAAAGAATTGATTAACCGGGACCAAAGGAGCAACGAGGATCGATTTAAAGAAGTTTTGTATGATCCAAACGTTGGCTTATATGTAAATAATTTAACAAACCTGAATTCACAACTACAAACGCCCACTTAAACACACCACGCCGCTCTTAAGTTTCAGCAGTCCTCGTAGTTTTATACTTGACATATACATACAATGTATACGTCTTCAACTTGAAAACAAAATGAACTTATTTTATGACGAGCTGTGTGGTGTAGCTCACTATCAGGGGCTGCGGATTCGATTTCCCAGCGAAAACGATTCTGGGTAGATTTGTTATTTTATGAATGTTATTTTTATATTTTTAGAGCCATGTTTATTCAAAATACTTGTTCAGGTTCAGAGCATAGCTAAAATACTTAACACATATTATTTAAATGTGGGTCTCAAGTTTGGTAGTCTAATCTCAACATTTTTGATTGCTTTTTTAATAAATTTGTTACATATATTATGGCCCACTACCTGCTATAGGCACAGAACAAATAACAGTACTACGTACAGAAGTTGCAGTTGCTTGCCGACGTTTAATAGCCTACATAATTATTATTAATTAGATAAATCACGCTCGCAAGCTAAATAAAACTTTACCGCTGCGCGAGTGTCCGTATTACTTTGCATCTTTTTCCCTTCCTACGTTACGGCGGACTTTATTTTGTTACTAAGGGATGTCAATAAAGAGTACCTAACAAAATACATTGCGAAATGTTAATGAAGTTACTTAGGTGAAATACCTATTCTAACTATGATTGACTGACCATATTTTCGCACCTATGTGAGTTCTACGATGCCCAACACATGCAACTTGCAAGGTTATTCGCCGCGATGCTTGGCTCGTAAGAAATAGGTAGGTAGATAGTGTAAACAACAAATAACCCTGAAATACAATTCCTAACAGAGATGTAATCGTATTCTACTAACTTAAAAAATTTGTTAGTAAACAAAGTTTTAATTTCAGTGTTTTGTGTTATTATAACGTAAAATATTTTAAATACAAAAGACAAGTATAGGTATGTAAGTAGATACTTGGATAGTGAAGTAAATTTAACAATAAAAATTAATTAAATTCACCCTTCATAACTTCCTACTAAAATCCTTCGGTAACTTAAAGAATGATATATCTGAAACCTTTTGTTAGTCATTTATCATCCATTCACGCAACAAATAATTGTTAGTAAGAACGACGTTTTGCCATTAAAATTTATCAAATAGATGGGTAAAATACACATTAAAACTTTTTAACTATTATTCCTACAATTAAATATAAACTAAGAAATAAGACTAAACACTAAACAAAAACTATTTCAACAAGTATTTACAAAAAAATTATTTACGTAAACAGCGTTAAAATAACTTTAGCATTCAATCGCCTACAACGCGCTAACCCCGACTGCGTATTTCACCCTGGGTGCCTCGCGATTGTAGGTAATTATTTCACGCAGGTACAGATCGCGGCACGTAATTTGAACTAAAATGGCGGTCGTTTGCGCAGGTACAATTATGGACAAAAATGTTAGACACATGCTCCACGGTTGCCTGAAAAATTCAAAAATCTTCAAGGAAAAACCGTGAATTCGTCGTATTTAAATATATTTTTAATAAGTGTGAAAATGAAGTGAAGTAATTTAATTAAACAAAAAATGAAGTTTCATAAAAATAATTTCGATTTTCTTTCAAATAATTGTATTTCTTATTACATAATTTATTTGTGATTGTTAGGTATTATTAAATAGAACAGTTAAAGGAATACTAATAAAAATTTAATACATCAAAAAGTTAATCTATTTATCTACATGTTCAATCACTTTCACTCATTGGCATGACCATCTATATAATTTCCTAGTGGTATACCAGAACTTGGGCCAGGAGTTGCGATTTCATCTTCTATGTCAGTTAAGAAATCCAATTCAGAAGCACTGCTGTCAGAATCTCCAACCCGTATTATAAATTCTTCCGTCATTTTATCGATGACATGGTCGCTTTTGACATAAGCTTCTTCGATTGTCTTAACTTTGTCGCATAGCTTTTTCCAATCACATGGTCCCATTGTATTTACCTTTTCGTTCACTAACTCTATAACACAGGGCACATTCCATCGTACATTTTTGCTTTTTTTTTTGATCTGGGTGGTAGGGAGGCAGGCGAAGTACGTCATGACCATGTTCTTTAAAAATCTTGTCTATACTAAATGTTTTGAAGCGATCTTTGTTATTTTTTATTAATTGGTATAATTGAGGCTTCAACATTTCAGACGTAAATGTTATTCCTTTTTCTGAAAGCCAAGCCTGCATATCAGCTTTCCTTGAATTCGCGTTTGGTGCTAAGTCATATTCCTTATTATGGTATGATGCATTGTCTGCAACTATAATTGAATTTGGGGGAAGATTCGGTATCAATTGAGTTCGAATCCACTTCTCATAATTCTCAAAATTCATATCGTCGTGATAGTTCCCGGATTTCATACCTGACTTGAACGTTAACAAGGCGTTAGGCATAAAACCAGTCTCCGATTTGGCATGTACCATCACAACACGTTGCCCTTTTGATAAGGGTTTTTTTATTCCTTTACTTGACCCATCTGTGAAACCTTTCGGTGTGGTGTGAGTAGCGTGAACATATGACTCATCTGTGTATACAATTGGTCTGTTTTGTTGTCGAAACTGTCTTAATTTTTCTAAATAATTTATTCTTAACAGTCTGATGGCTGATGTTTCTATTAAAACTTTCCTATTATTCTCGGTGGCTTTCCATTTAAATCCAAGTTCCTTAATGCGACGAAGACTTTTTTCAGAACCTTCAAATTTTATATCGGCACATAATTTTGCACGAAGTTTACCAAGGGTCGGTAATTCGTTTTCAGTTAAATGAAAATTGTGAATACACCGTTTTATTACCCCCTTGTTAAAATTGTCTATGCCTGTGACTGGATATATTCGTTGCCTCTTTTTACCAGGGGTCCTAAAAGTAACTATAAACTCTGAACTTTTACTTTCTTTAACAATCCTTTTAACTGTGGATACAGACTTTTTCGTATCTTCCGCAGTTTTATTCAGAGAATCAGTTATATTATTTTCTTTTAAAAAATAATTATAAACATCAAATATCATTCCCCTGTCTCCTTAAACTTGGTTGTGGTCGAGTAATTTTTTTTTTGAAATTAAATTAAATGATCACGCAATCGACAGAATTATAAATGTCAAAGAGTTGAAAACTTCGTACGCGATTGTACTCCAGGGCCGCGCGGTGAGTGCGCGGGTAGTGAGGGACAGAGTGCGACTGAGTGGGGTCTAGCGCCGCCACGTTGCTATTTACTGGTTACGCGCGGCCCCACGCGGCGCACCTCATACCGCACTTCGATTGAGACCCGAAAATGTGTTACTGCGCATACGAGGTCATAGTTCAACTTACGTGCCGCGTATTATAGCAAGAGTGAGAGGCCTGCTATAGGTTTAACAGCCCTGAATTTTATGTAAAAAAATAGATTGTAATAAAATAAACAAAATTTAGATAATATTTAATAAAAAATAAGTATTGTTGTGTTTATTCGTATATGTACTAACATTAATTTTAAATTTATCTGAAATAAAATCATTATTGTTGTTTTATGGACCTTTATCCGCTGATGGCAGTGTGATACTAAATGTAAATAGCTAACATAACAATATCTTACTGTGACCATATCGATATTAAAAACCTTCATACGCATGGCAAGCGGATTGAAGATTGCTTTAACTGACATCTGGCATCTGCTCAACGCGTCACTGGCCTAGCTATTTTACATTTGTCTGGCGCACACGAGATGGTTATATCATATCTATCGGAAATCATAAGAATATTCAATACGAATAGTTTGTTATACTATATGAAAGACAAGGGACTGTTAAATCGGTAGTAATCTCTTATAAAACTACTCTTTTCACGATTGTAAATAATTTAGGTAACAGAAAAGTTTTTTAATTACACTGATATACTGATATAGATGTAGAAAAATCCAAATTATAAAGATAACTTGTGATCTCAAGGCAGACGTCGTAGTCTAATTGGTATAATTGACACCTTGACTGTGAGGTCATAATGTCGTTAACTAAATAAGTTTATAAAATGTTCCCAACACTCATATATTCGTGATATATTTAGGATAAAGACTATATATCTTAACTAACAGCGTTTAAACATATGGAGTTGGCCTGGTTTTCAGATTTTGAAATTCATACACACACAATTTGTAGAACACAAATAATGAAAAAGTGGATGGCGTTGTTTAAGATTTAGTCTGCAAATATTCTTCTCCTTAACAGCTTTTGTTATTTACTGCTAGACTTTTTCAAGAATGCGGCAATTTGCCCATAGACTTACAGAGGATGTGTAGGAAGGCGATGAATGCAGAACTGATACATCAATTCTCATTACTTTTCTGTGGGATTTTAGTTCAAAATTTTCTGGATCCTTTTTTATCACCTGAATCATGTATGGGCCAACTCAGTCATGGAATGTCTATGCTCGCATAGAATTGCAGTGTAAAATAGCAGCATAATGCTATATATCGTACGTAAGGTGATTGACGAGAATCAGAGACCCTTTTTACTGATTATAAGGCATTACATCTTAGTCCTCAACAGAGACAATGCTGCATTGTGATTTTTAATCGATGATAGATGTAGGTATTTATGGGCAACACCATCCACTTACTATTAGATTGACTGTGTGCTCGTTTGTCACACATACTTCTATATAAAAACCTATCCCGTCTGCTCCCGTTATTGTACTGTAAGTGATACTGTACGTAATATAACAGCTGTCACGTCACCATACTTAAAGTTAATGTTATGTCATCTTGCACGCGTAATACCTATGGGAAGATGGAACAATTTGTTCCAATAAGGCACTTTTTAAATTTCTAAAATTTATTATAGTAGGTTTGCTTATTTTGATTGCATTTTCATACTTATCGTTTAAATCCGGGGCTGGTGTTGATACCACAACGTCACCCAGACGCACATGCCGCGAATAATCCGTGTAGTGCGGAACTCCGCCACCTACACCTACCAGGAAAACGTATTCGACCTGTAAAATAAAAACAAAAAATATTTAAAGTTTTCACGTTTACAAAAATATTTACGACAACAAAACAAACATTTTATACGTGCTAGAGCCATGCTGCAGTTATATTAGTAGTATAGTTGTAGCACAAATGTATCGGCTCGACCGGGGAAGGACCACGCTCTCACAGAATACCAGCGTAAAATAGTAGCTTAATGCTGCTGTGTTTCGTATTGTGAGTGTAGAGAGACCCTTTTTACTGGAAATGAGGCATTCCATCTTAGTCCTCACAGTGACAACGCATCTGCATTTTGATTTGTAATCGAGGATAGATGTAGATGTCCATGGGCCGCAGCATTCACTTACCACCAGGTGGACTGTGTGCTCGTTTGTCACCCTATCCTATAAAAATCTCTATGTATAATTGATTGACTTCTCTGATCCTTTCAAATACGATGACATCACGTGACTAATGTCCAATAGATTTAATGTAAATCGGTAATAATTAAAGTATCGACTAAAAACAGTTATAAGTACATTAGCGTTCTTTTAAGTTCAGATCCAATATTTTAAGTCGTTAACACTGCGGTCAAAGCGTAAAAATTACTAAGCTGTACAAGTTCCGTCTGAGAATGTAGGTACGTATATCATTCGTATGCTATAAATATTTTTTTCATTTTACAAATAAAATTATGGAAGGCGTAATTGTTTACGTGCAGATCCTTGTACATCACTCAGGAAGATGTACGCGAGATATTTGGAGAAATGACATCATTAGCCTATGGGAATTCCTTCTTAGACCTCAGAGGTCATGACGCATCTGTAGCTTAATGGTTTCTTATATGTACGCGAACACTATACATTAAATTAAGCTATTTGTACGGATTTTACCGCGTTTAATTCGAAAATTTTAAATTCTGACGTTTCGGGTGCTTTACAACAACCATGGTCATGGGAGCGGGGATGGGTGAAGTAATCGGGAATTAAAAAAATTAAAATGAAACGCGATATAATTCGTAAAATTAATTTTATTTAAAGCATCTGTAGCTTGCTTTCTTTGAAGTGAAGAACGCAAAAACATTAAGCATAGCACAAAAATTGACATTCAGCTTGTGAAGTAGCCACATCATCAATGTGTATGTTTCGGTACCATACCATAAGACGAATTGGATTAAAGCTTTGGTCTTCAGATATTTTGGTATGGGCGACCACAAAACCTAACGCAGCTTCCTAAAGAAGAAAGTTCTGGAGCAAAACTTGACACAATATTCCCCCTACACCCATATTAAATGCATTCGGTTGTAATTTATAACAACTGAGCGTATCTTCGTCATTCTGTATGTGTAAGACAGCTATTTTGGTCTTTTAAATTAGCAAGCGTCGAGTGTATGCGCGTTAAATGCGGAGTAAAGCCACAGGCCCTTTCCAGTTACATAGAAATTAGGGATTATGTTTTATATAGAGTTTTCCGATTTTAATCTAGAGTCTATAACAGTCATCGATCACTAATAAAAATCTAGTGATCGATGATAACAGTGGATAACTTTTTAGGAAAAATATATAGTTAATTTTGTTTTATTTAACCATCAATATCATCTGATCAAATACATAATATTTTAGCTTCTAAGAAACTAAAACATAAAAAAACCTAAAGAGTATTTTACTAAGCGTGATAGAACCAACTAAAAACGAAAACAGAAATTTTATGTGATAATGTAAACAGACTAGTACGCTGAAATAGCATACGCCGTTCGTGTCGAAGCTACAATGTACAGTAATACGAATTGGAGCACGATACTCTATTTTAGATTACGACTCATTACTTAAATGCTTCTCGCCGGACGATCCCAACGTTGTTGCGGATTCTGTCGCTGATGTGGTACTACAGGGTATGGAACTTTTTATTCATTCCTCTGTAGTGCCCATTGGATACAAATCTCACCCATGGTTTGGTCGCTCCTGTAAAATAGCAGGAGCGACATCATGCATCAACGTCCCGGGATGTTAACACCAGCGCTCTAAAAAAGAAGTATAATTCCGCCTCTAGGTCCTTCAAAAGAGTCATTGCCAAGGCAAAGTCAGAGCACATAGGGAGAATTGGCGAGAAACTAGTTCGCCTTCCTTCTGGAACCCGTGCATTCTGGTCTCTCGCCAAGGCTGTCCAGGGGAATTTCTGTCAGCCATCTCTTCCATCTCTGCACAGGGAGGACGACTCACTGGCCTATACCGCAAAGGAGAAAGCCGATCTTCTAGGCTCTTTCTTTGCGTCCTACTCGACTCTCGATGACGGTGGGAGTACGCCGCCGACCATCCCGCGGTGTAAGTGCTCCATGCCGGAAGTGCATTTCCCTCGGTTCGCAAAGCACTCCTCTCCCTGGACATCCACAAGTCAAGTGGGCCTGACGGAATCCCCCCAATTGTGCTGAGGACGTGTGCTCCAGAGTTGGCACCGGTTTTAACGCGTCTTTCCCGGTACTCCTACTCCATAGGCGTAGTCCCAAAATCATGGAAGACGGCTTTCGTCCCCCCGATCCCTAAAAAAGGCGACCGCTCAGACCCGTCCAACTACCGGCCTATCGCCATCACCTCCTTGTTCACCAAAACAATGGAGTCCATTGTAAACTGCCAGCTCATGAGGTACCTTAAGGATCACCAGCTGATTAGTGATCGCCAATACGGTTGTCGCCGTGGTCGATCAGCTGGTGATCTTCTGGTCTACCTAACTCATAGATGGGCGCAGGCAGTAGAGTCCAAGGGGGAGGCATTGGCCGTTAGTTTGGACATAGCGAAGGCCTTCGATCGGGTTTGGCGCTTCTTTCGAAGCTCCCTTCCTATCGGCTTTCCGAGAAATTGTGCAATTGGATCACGAGCTTTCTTGCAGATCGGAGCACCAAGGTCGTTGTAAACGGTGCAAGCTCCGATTACAAGCCTATTAATGCTGGTGTTCCACAAGGCTGCGTGCTATCGCCAACGCTGTTCCTTCTGCATATCAATGATATGTTGCAAACCCGTAACATTCATTGCTATGCAGATGACAGCACTGGTGATGCTCTTTACACCGGCCGTGCCAATATTTCTAGACACAAGTTTGCGCGTTAACCGCTAAAAAGAACCCCTTTGTCGTATCTCCTCAGTTTCAAGGCACTCCCCATGTTGCCTCAGCCAGTATCGGAATCCTCGGCGTCGTCATATCGAGTGACGTGCAGTTTCGTGGTCACTTGGAAGAGAAGGCCAAATTGGCCTCTAAAAAGCTTGGCGAGCTCAGCAGAGCGGGACAGTATTTCATGCCGGCACACCGCCTGCAACTTTACAAGGCGCAGGTTCGGCCGCACATGGAATACTGTTCCCATCTCTGGGCTGAGGCTCCCCAGTACCAGCTCCTTCCACTTGACCGCATCCAGCGCAGAGCGGCTCGAATCGTCGACGACCGAGTGCTTTCCGATTGGCTCGATTCACTGGCGCTGTGAAGAGATGTTGCATCTCTTTGCATTTTCTTTCGCATATACCACGGGGAGTGCTCTGAGGAATTGTTCGGATTAATCTCAGCCGCCAAATTTCGTGAACGTACTACGCGGCAAACGTCCCGATACTATCCACACCATCTGGATGCTTGGCGGTCCACCACTATACGTTTCAAAAGGAGTTTTCTTCCGCGTACAACCTCTCTGTGGAATAGTTTACCACCGGCGATTTTTCCGGACCGATACGACCTGGGGACCTTCAAGAAAAGAGCTTAGTCCTTTCTAAAGGGCCGGCAACGCACCTGCAATTCCCCTGGTGTTGCGGTTGATCATGGGCGGCGGTAGTCACTTAACATCAGGTGAGCCGCATGCTCGTTTGCCCCCTCTTCTATAAAAAAATGTGCTTAATATTCACAACCCTGACATTGCATCAACCGTTTCTTATAATCAACGCATTGAGCGAGTGCGTTTACTTTACCATTTATAACACTCCTGTGTATAGGTACAACCACCTTTGGTCGCTAATTCGCAAATAGAAGAATGTAAAAAGGAAGCTCTGCTCATTAAATCACTCATTATCAAAATCGCTGGATTATAATATATAGGAGCAGCCTCATTACATTAAGGAAACTAATTTAGATGGTTACTAATGTAAAATTTAGATTTTGTCATAGGATTTAAATTTATTTCAAAAATCAACCAATTAAAATTTTGTTTTATAGGATAGGGTGACAAACGAGCACGCAGTCCACCTGATGGTAACTGGTTGCTGTGGTTAGACATCTACATCTATCCTGTGGTAGACATCTACATCTATCCTGTGGTAGACATCTACATCTATCCTGTGGTAGACATCTACATCTATCCTGTGGTAGACATCTACATCTATCCTGTTGTCGTTGTCACCCGTGAGGACTTAGATGGAATGCCTCGTTTCCAGTAGAAAGGGTCTCCGGTTCTCTACACTCACCATACGAAACACAGCAGCATTAAGCTACTATTTGACGCTGGTATTCTGTGAGAGTGTGGTCCTTCCCCGGTCGAGCCGACCCATTCGTGCTACAACTATATACTACTTATATAACTGCAGCATGGCTCTACCAAGTAAAAATGATTTTGTTAACATAATATATTTTCTGTACACCTTAAAACCCAGCATTATGCAACGAACAAGAGTTCGTTTTTCTTAGCCCATTTAATTAATGCAAGTAGATATTTAAACCTTTTCAGTTTAAATACAAACTATAGATACGTTCTTATATGGGTCGAATTAGAACTAGAAAGTAAAAGGGACGATTAAAGAGCGTGATCAAGTTTCAAAAGTCTTAAAGAGAGTACTGTATTACCAACTTGGCGAACCCTGTTTCCCAAATCCAAAGGAGCAAGCTGCATCGTCAGTGCAATGGTATCAGTTACGTACAATCAGCGTGGCCGCTGTTTGCTTTTCAGGACATAATTTTTTAATAGAATAAGGTTGTCAAACGAGCACACAGTCCACCGATGGGAAATGTATGCTGTGGCCTATAGACATAAATAATTATCCTCGATTAAGAATCAAAACGC